AAAAAAAAAAAAAAAAAAAAAAATGTAATATGTGAAACATTCTGTGTTTAGCTTTTACTTCATGCCAGGCCCAAGGCCAGGGGATTAAACAATATTCACAGTGCTCAAGAATCTTAAAGTCTAGTGTGGAAAATAAAATCACACTGACAATTACTGCCCAGTGACATACGTGTGAGAGAAGCCCATTTTTGTGCTGTGGGAGTCTTCCCAAGGGTATCTAACCCCAAATGGAGGAGAGAAGTCTTTAAACTGAGTCTTGGAGGATGAACAAGCATTATTTGGGTTTAGAAGGAGTGACGTGGGCTGAGAGTGGGAGGAATGAATGTCCTGGGCTGGCAGCCTTGACTGTGTGGGAGACACCAGGCAGCTCAGTGGAAATCAAGCAAACAACAACACAAAGGAGATGGGAGGGAGGGGCATTTTTCTCTCATCTCTCTTTCCTTTAAGATTTTTTTTATCTTAAAGGCTTATTTTCTATTACATTAACTTCCATTCTTCATCAATACTCCATGTGCTTGATATTTTAACTTAGAGGTTTAAACATCTCATCTATTTATAAATAGGGGCTGTCTATATTCATTCATAATTATATTTCTTAAAACAAACCAATTGGCTCGTTTATCCTTATGAGAAATGCTCTTTCTTAAAGACCAAGATTAAAACAAAAGTATAATACTGTATTTATGTTGGAGCTCTAGCTGCTTAATTGATTTCAATGAAACAGATTCAGCTAAAAAAATTATGAATCAAGCAGAACAAAAGAGTAGGTAGTCTCAGATAGCTTGGGGTTTTAGGCTACAGCTTTTTCCTTTTTCCTCTGCCTGTACCATATTTTAAGATGATTCTGTGAATACTGAAATGATTTCAGATTCCCAATTGATATTGATTCCAACATGGAATCCCCAGAATAAATTGGACATGTACATAGTAGGGTAGGTTGGATATTACAACTAACTGTATGAACTATCAACCACCTGAGAGAGCCTTTGTTTTTCAAGTATAGAAAATTAAAGAATCATAAGTAAAGAGTCCTGAAAACAGATTTGTTCACTACAATGATACCTTGTTGCTTCAACAGTGTTCCTTCTGGAAATATAGAATGGCCGGTCCTCATTATACTCATCGAACACTCCCCACCGGAGATGAGCCCATTCATGGACAAATACTCTGCCTAGGAGAGGATATTGCCACTTTGAAGTGTATAATAACAATATTTTAAGACTTTTAAAAAAACATATTTTAATAATATTTAAAAGCAGGGTTTAAATCTCTCTGCCCCATGTCCCCAACCTAATTGAGTCAAGGAACTCCAGAAATTGATGCCTTTCATTAGCCCAAGAAGTTGAAATGAGTTAGTGTCAATAAATGACTCATTTTATTATTAAACATACACACACAAAGTAAATAGCACATTTCCAATAAAAATACTGCTTGATGCCTACTTTCTTTTCTTTTTTTAAGAGACTGGATCTGCCTCAGCCTGTTACTCAGGCTGGCGTGCAGTGGCATGTGACCCTGGCTCAAGCAATCTTCCCACCTCAGCTGCCTCTTAAGTATCTAGGACTATCACATGCTACCACTTATGGCTAATTTATTTTTTTAGTGAAGTGTCTCGCTATGTTGCCCAGGCTGGTTTCAAACTCCTGGCCTCTAGTCATCCCTCCACCTCAGCCTCCTGAGTCACTGGGATTATAAGTGTCAGCTACTATGCCTGGTTTCTTAAAAATTTTTAAAATACCATTAATCATCGTGTTACATATATATTTTTTCCCAGTGAAAATAAGAACAGAAGTATATAATAGATGTCTCTACCTCGGGGCCCATAGATGGGCAAATTATTAGCCAACAGGAAGTTTGGAGTGAAATGTATATATTGTCCTTTATCTCCACATTGTCCATATTGAAGTGTATAAGGATCATCTCCATATTTTAGGTAAGGAGTAGCAACTATGACATCTGCCTAAAATTAGCAAAAGAACAAGCAAACAAAAGCCGATTCCAAGAGCAATAGAAATAAGCAATTTTAAAAACAAAGACTTTTCCCATATACACTGAGAAAAGTTGTATTACTAATTTAATTACTAAATTAGTCATTAGTAATTACTAAAAAATTACAGGTGTTAGTTTTTTTTAAAGCACAGAAAGAAAGAAGCAGTTGAGGAGCTAGATAAAATAGCCCACCTGGTCATATGATTCTTGCTTTGGCATTAAGTACTCAGATTTTGACTTCCAGGTCATTGGAATTAAAATGCTTACAGTCCTGAAATAAGCTCTTCGTTTGGTGGCATGAAACAGGTAAGTAGAAGCTTCAGTTACCATTTCCTGACAAAATTAAAGATACCTTGTCATAACAATGTCACAGTGAAATGAACATAAAAGTATATATTCAAACGAGAAGAAATAAATCTAACCTTCCTTTCCCCCAAATTTTGGCAAAGACTGACTGGAAAATAGGTTGAATTTTATTCGATCTCTTCAGTCTGTAAACTCCTCATGTTCACATGCTTAAAAAAATTAACTGTTTCTTACCTGTCCGGGCCTGTAATCAGAATTATGCATTGAAGATAGGAATAAGGTTGCTGCATGAAGTATAAAGGTGATTAAGATTGGGAGTCTGTTGGAAGGTTGCTTATTTAATCAAGCAGCCACGGTTACTGGTTGTTTAGATAAGCTTCAAGTTTAAAGATGATTATATTTGATGTTAGTTGAAAAAATCATTTTGCTAGATATATTTTCAGTTATCATTTCATACAGAGTATGTTCATAAAAGGCAAAGTTTTACCAAGCAGTAATGAAAATAAAAACTTATAGGCCTAATTGGCTTCAGATCCCAGTTTGGTCACTTATTGTAGGACTGAAAAAAATCACTTCACTTCTCTCATTTACACAAGGGTAATAATCCCCATTCTAGACCACTTCACAGGAATATTTAGAGGGTCAAAGAAGATAGCATTTATTAAAGTGCTATATATAAAGTGTTTTTAATTATGTTGATTAATACAAATAAAATTAGGAAGATAAATCAACTTAAAACGTGTATTTTTTTAAAGATAAAAGACACATATGATTTTTTAAATTTCCCAGAGTTAAACAAGTATGAATAGCTGCAAAAATGTACAACATAGTAAACCCCTAGGGCTTAAATGTAAATTAGTTAAACTTTATAAAAGTAGCTTTATAAAGATAACATTTGAAAACAATTCCCTACTTGCTATAAAGTCATTCTGTTAACTGAACTAATTAAAAAAAACTTTTGTAGTTTGACCTTCTAATAATTCATTGGGGGAAAACATACTTAAACTAAGTAGATCTTGACATTTTAGATAAATGCTACATAAATGATAAATACTATCAAAACAATTTTGGAAAGTTATAACTCTGATTGAATGTATGTATCTAGGCAACATGAGTTGAAAATACTTAGTCCAAAAATGAAAAAGTAGATAAATTTTTTTCTTACCTTTATATTTTGAATGAGTTTTTCATCTTCTGGCACACTGGGATTAATTGCAATGACAATGCCATCATATCCATTGCCGTTAAAATTCACCATTGAGCTTTTTACCCCAGGCAAGAGATGCAAGGCTAGGAACAGAATAATATTCAGACTGAACGTCATTTTGGCACATGTTACAATAAGTCTTTTGGAAACATACGAAGGGTATTTATGTCTGTTTGGCTCAGGAATTTGAATCAAGACTAAAATATTTGCATGAGTGTGATATAGTAAGTCACTAAACCATTTCGGTGAACTTCCTTATCTTACTCATTCTTGAGATTTCATTGTTAAGTAGCAATGGGGATTATGCCAAACATATTTATCATACTTGCTAAGATAACATAGGCCTTAAGTATTCATCGAATCGAGTAATTCATTCAGATTGTGTATTTGTCATCACAGTGGTGGGAAGTCTTCAATGTCTTAATTATCATCATCAAATAGTATTAGAGATGTAAATCCTGGGATCTGTCCACAGAAAAGCATTCTATGGAGGGATGAGTAACTCAAATTAGAGGTACCAGGAGAGAGCAAATGAAAAATGACCTGTTTAAAAAATAATGGATAAGGGACTGGAGTAGGAGTGGCGGTGAATAGGGTTTATAGTCTTTCTTTAGATTAGAGTAATATAAGCATAGTGGTTGGGGACAGCTATGGGTCAAGGAAAATTTTTTTTAAATTGCCTTCTGCAGTAACTAACTGTATTTCAGTTTTCAGTTGGCATTGGATGCTTTAAGTACTTGTATAACTGAATATGCTTCAATTAAGATTTCTTTCTTTATATATATATATATATATATTTTTTTTTTTT